ACCACAAGCAGGTGAGTCACCAGCAGTCTGGGAAAGACTCGGCCAATGTGGGATCAATCGACTCAACCACAATTATCGCGCTGACACCTGATGGCGACCATAGAGGACAGTGACAGACCTTCTCCCAGGAGACCTTCTGGCTGGACACCAGAACTGACCATCCTCGAACTGCTCTCTGCCCCCTGCCAATACCCCACTCACACTGCACCTCATGACCGAGGCACTAATGCTGCAGTCAGATTGGGCAGGACTCCAATTTACACACCAGACACCAGACCTAGCCTAATCTCCCCGTGCCTAGATCAACTTATTATTTACAAGAAATGTGTACCTTTTGTTGAGTGAACAGGCAACCTGTGGAGATCAAAATGAATGTATGAAAGCAAAAATTAGAAATATATTCCATGGCCCCAGCACTGTACCACGTATATATATACTAAGTTAAATATGTGTTTAAATATCATTTGAGCACTGCCTAGGGGCCGGGAGAAGAGCAGAAGTCATTCACTCCTAATTAGGAAGCACAGAAGACTAAACAGCTTGAAAATCTCAACAGGTAACCTGCCCCATAATGCTTCTTTCCTCTTCCAAACCACTCCAACACAAATGTACCCAGCAGAGCCATTTCCCGAGATCTCCGCAAAAACAATTCCATGAGGAGCACAGCCGTTCAAGATGAATCTCTTATAAACATCCGAGGCAGACTCCAGGTAATCAGACCTGTAGACTTTGTAGGTCTAAAGCGTAAACTCTACACTCAGTCCCTTGTTACCTGAGGAAGCAACTCTGACCACCACCACAGGGGTGTCATTCCCAAGTGTGGCAGCACCACTTTCTTCAATGGAGCAGAGAACAGAAAAATTCTACTAGGCGCTAAAATAGCGAAATAAAGATGAAGACTCTAATTCCTGGGGTTGAACACAATGAAAAAGCAATACCCTGGCTGCCAACCTCATCCATTCGGCTTGCGGAGTTAGCATCTGGGCCTGGTTTCAATAGCAGCTTTGTAGCCCAGATGGCCAGCACCACCATCCTACAACTCTCGTTCCAGATAAAGACTGAGAGTGTGAGCATAGCAGAGTGTGTGTGTGTGTGTGTGTGTGTGTGTGTGTGTGCGTGTGTGCACCTCACTCTGAGAGCCCCTGGTTCTCCAACAACCATGATTTCCAAGCCACATGTCTAATAAAAATAACCTTGATGCCGCTACCTTCTGATTTTTTTCCTACAAATGCTGGCCCTGCTGTTTAAAACGTGACAAGTGAGACAGAAGCACTTTTTTCCAAATACAGAGAACCACCAAGTACATTCCTACCACCCCCAACACACACTCCCACAAGGATGGGCTCTTCCCTTCATCTCCCCTCTAACACCCTCTTCCTTACAGATGCACCATAGCTATAAATTCTCTTCTCCCCCACTCATGTCTCTCTCTCTCTCTCTCTGTCTCTCTCTCTCTCACACACACACACACACACACACACACATTTGGATATAAGTTCAAACAGTTACACCTGCTGGCAGGTGCATGAAAAATGCCCCTAACTTTGGCAGTGAGTGGCTGGGGAGGTGACAGTGGGTGAGCTCTGGGCACACAAAGTGAGGATGCTGGAGAGCTGGGCAGGCCAGAGACAAACCCTGGACCAGTCCCTGCCCTGTGACAACTCCTGCGTAAGCTCTCATTTGGATCGCTTTGCTACTTTCGGTAATTGGTCCTGGCTGGAGCCAAATTAAGCAGAGCACACAGCAGATCTGCCTTAGGAAGATTGAGAAAGACGCCCAAGACTCACAGATGGTTCTAGCCACGATGGTTCTAACTTCACGGGGCAACCGTGGCCTCACTTCTCCCGAACACAAGCGCCACCTGCACACAGGTGCACGCCAGGTGCTCTCTTGGGCTCCCTGTCATTGTGCTAACCCTCAAGGTCCAGGAACCTTATTCATTCCATCTTCTAGCAGATACACCAGCTAATTCTTACTTTATATGGTATTTTTTTTAACAGGATGTGACATCCCGGTTTGGACTGAGATAAATGACGAGTGCTAAGTATATGAGCTGGAAACTGTTTTCCAAAAACAACTGCCACCCAAGTTGAAAGTACTCACACAAACACACACACACATTTCTCTCTCCCACTCCTGCCCTCCTCCCAGGTCTCTGGGGAAGCAATGGCAAGTTAGAGGTCAGGTTGGATAGCATTACTCCAACAACAACTAGACTTGGAGTCAAGTATTCATTGACTAGCTAATATTTCTAGAGGACTTAATTATCTTGGGTTTGTTTCCTCATACATATACTAGCTACAAATGATTGTCAAAGTGCATAGTAAATCAGAGATTTATGGCAAACACTGGTACAAGGTATCCAATTATCGCGAGCAGTCTGCTCTTTCCCGTTAGTCTTTAAGAACCACGACGCATACATAAGCCACAGGCACAAACAATGAGACCATCCTCACTGGCTGTAACACGCGGTGGAGGGTCACAGTGTTATGGGTGTGAGCGAGATCACACCAGTCATGTCTAAGGTTTACTAAGGAGTCGTAATATCTGGATATCTCAAAGCCACAGGAACCAAATCTTCCAAATATGCCAAGAATCTTTAAAAACATTCAGTCAGAGTAAGATTCCCAGTCATCACAAAAGTATCTATCCATTTAGTCAGGTCACAGATTACAGTTATAGTTTATGGATCAGATTTCCACACTTATACCCCTGTACAATCAGAACAAGTCCCATGCTTTTATTTCAGCTTACACTCGAGGGACACAATTCAAGATGGATACCCAGCAGCCTGGCACCTGGAGGAAGCTGGCAGAGGCCGAGCATGCATGGAGGAGGGAAGCTGACAAAGTGAACCTAACCTGACAGAAGCTTTATAGAAGAAGCTTCCAGGCACATGTGCCCAGAGGCTAAGGACTAGGCCCACCTCTCAGATGCCAGTTACTGGATCAAGTATCCACCCTTAATCCTTTCACTGTTAACATAAACCTTTAAAGGTTGAAATCCCCTCAAACTCTTTCCCAGGGTATAATTCCATGCCTTGCTTTCTAAACCCATGCCCTTTTCATAGGTCGCATAAAATCATCCCATACCCGAAGGAGCCAACATCATAACTGAGCCGGCGACACTAATTTACAAGCCCAGAATCCGGGCCTCGTGCACACTCAAAGTATATACCCAAAAGCAACCATCACATTTTAAATCTCAGCTCTTCCCCAATTAGAACTTCATGTCATCACTTTTCACATAGGATACATAGTTCCCATCACCTTTCTACAGAACCCATCAATTGTTTCCGCATTCTTGTTAGGAACTATCCCACCCAGGGTTCTCATTCAAATGATATCCAATCAGCTATTCTCATACAAATGATGGTCTAATCAGTTGTACAAATAACATCCAATTAGTTGTTCTCATACAAATGTTATAACAATGGGAACTTAATGAGACAGAAAACAAAGATTACCTTAATAATTAAAAAAAATCTAATAGTGGGAACAAGAATAAACTTACTGGAGCTGGCTGGGAAGTCAGTCACCAATTAAACTCACCAATACAAAACTTTTGAATAATTGCCTCAAAGCAAAGGAGCAAAGGGAGACATTTTAAACTTTTACTTTTTCTAACAAATTTGCTATTTTCAGGTATTTACTATCACACCTAAATATTAACATCCCAAAGAACCTTCTTACAAAAAGATTTCAAATCAGACCTCTACCAATTCAGGTATCAGCATTCAGTAAAATTCATTCCTCATATCTCCTGGACTTCCCCAACCTTCTATTCCAGGGCAATGCAGTCATTCTCCTACAGAAAAAGCATTTTAAAGTCCCAGCATCTTTTTAGAACCCTTTTATCACTGATGAACCATATTCCATCTGCCAATATCCTCGATTTACAATTTGAAACAATCTTTCTGAAACTGTTAGGTATGTGCCAAAATGTATTCACTTCCATTTCATTTCCAGTGGATTTTTTGGAAGGCGCCTCGAAAACATGTGCACCTATGTAGTGGTCATGACCACTTCTTACTAATTTCTCATCATGACAAAGCGCCAAGCAGGCGCAAGAAAGCACCCGCTCTGACTCCTAACACACACTCCCGCAGCCCCACTCACGGCCCAGAAAGTGATACCTGGGTCTTTCAAAGCCCTGTCTGCCCCTCCTCGGCCCCCGACCCAGGCAGAACAGCTCTGGGATTCAGATGCTCCTCACAGACCACTCCAGTTGGCCCTGCACTTTCCATCTCACACCCAGCATCTCTGGCTCTACAAATGCACGTCGCCCCCTTCCGCCCCCACGCTGGGGGACTAGACTGAAAGGTAATGAGATAACCCGTCCATTTCCCGCAAACATGCCAGAAAGAGTCCACTTAAGCAGGTGGCTCCTACCGTCACGGCCTTCTGCCAACTCCCCCGGCCCCCTTGCCGGAACACTCCGGCACAAGTTCTTCAACCCAACGCAGAGAAAAGTGAACTTGGCCGCTGGGAAAGTTACCGCGGACGGCGCGGCGGGGTGCGAGGGCAAGCAAACCCGGATCAGGAAAAGCCTGGGCCGTTCCGTGTCAGGGGGCGTTCACCAGGTTGTTTCCCACCTCCCTCCACCTGCAAACACTTTGGAGTCAAGCACAAAAAGAAAGAAAACAAAACCCCGTGTGCGGCTGCCCACGAGCCGGATCCTCTGTGTTTGAAGAGGCGCAAACATTAAGAGTGGGGATGGGCGGGATGGGGGAGCCTGGCAGCTGCCGGACCAGACGCGAGCCTTGTCTGCAGGGACCGAAACAAAGCCCCTTGGGCCGGCTCCGAGAGGGGCGCGTGGGACCTCCCACCGTGGGAAGGTCACGGGACACCCGACACCCGCACAGACCGGGGTCCTCCGGCGGGCAAGCGGTGCAGGTGTGGGTGCGCGCGCAGCGAGCCCCATCCCCCGCGCCCCCAAAGCCCATGGGGGGTACCCTGACCCTTTCCCTGCCTCGCTCGTTTAGTTGCAGAGGCTCTCACCCGAGCGGGGATCGAAGGTAACCACGAACACGGCCACCACCTGGTCCTCTTCCACGTCGCCCAGCTCCAGGCGTCCAGGCTGCAGCAGCACCTCGGAGGGAGCTGGCTCCTCCGACTCTCGCCTTCTGGGCAGCTCCGCGGCTGGCCGCGCGCCCACGCCGCCGCCCCGGGCCCGGCCTCCCGCCTGCAACTCCGAGGCCTGCGGCAGCGAGACGGCGGGGCCCTCGGCCCAGCGCAGCAGCGGCGCGGCGTCTCCCTGCTCCACCATGGCGAGGCGAGGAGGGGCCGCGAGCGCGCGGGGCGGAGCGGACTGCGGGAACTCCCTCCCCGGGCCCGAGCGCTCGAGGTTCGGCGCCTCGCGCGCCGCCCGGGCCCACACCTGCCTGCTTCCGCCCGGCAGCGCTCTTAGCTCCCTCCAGCTGCGGCGCGTCTCTCGTGCAATGGAGAGTAAGGCAGCTGCCGAGGGAGGTTGGCGGCCCGGTGCCTGTTAAGAGGTTTCTTGGGCCCCGAGGGTAGGGAGTGTGTTGTGGGATGCGCAGCCCTGAGTCCATCCACCTGTGTGTGGGTTGAGTTTCCTTTCTCACCTAGGATTTCGTGGTGTAACTGTACCACCTAGAGTTTCATGTCACCATAATGTTTTAAAGTGCCCTGGTCACAGGCACCATGACATATGTATTACATAACTCTGATTTTGTGCAGGAACTGCTTACAAGCGGGAGAGTGAAGCTGAGGTGCAGGGCTAACCAGGTGTTGGCAATGTGCGGCTATCCAGGTGTTGTAGAAGACCCAAGAGGGTTACCTTCTGAGAAGGCCAGCTGATTGGAATGGAGATGGTGGGCTTACTTTCCAGCATCTGACCAGCTTGGTGGGTCTTAAACTAGGTCCCTGGGATATTTGTGGGGGTCCTTGGGTGAGGGGGCCAAAAGTAAGCCCTATTATGGCTCTGGAAATTGACACTATTACCACCACTCCACCACTTTGTTTTGTAGTAGAAATCTTAACGCCTCAACCTTTGTGGTTAATCTTGTGCCTAGGTAACTCTTTGAAGAGGAGGCACAAGTAAGAAACAGGAATGGTCATTAAAATAACCAGCCGTGATGAGGCTGCGAGAGAGAACTGTTCACATGTGCGGCCCATCCAGGGTCCACGGGAGCCCAGAGCAGCAGGTGCTCCGAGGGTGTTCTGGAAGAGTGCCTTGGGTGTGTGTGAAGATCCTCATCCTGGATGCCGGGAGTGCCGTGGGGATGATTTACCCTGCTCCCCGAGAGAGAAGTGGGCAAGGCTGCTGCTCTCAGCCACAACCTATGACAAACACAACAAACCAATGTTTTTGACAGGATGGACTGTTTTCATTATTTACATATTCTGCTCAACCCTCCCACCTCCCCCAAAGTCCAATCAGTAACCATGGAGCACTCGGGTCTGCCTCACTGGGCTGGAGGTGTAGGCTGACACCAGGGCATTTTCCAGCTGGTTCAGGGCCCCTGGGTGAGTTACACACAGATGATCCCAGCTCAGACAGGAGATCAGGCACAGTCAATGCTGGGAAAGTTGACACATTCACAGGTTTCTTTTTAAATAGGAAATCAGGGATCAGAGAAAAAAAAATCAGTTTCTGGAGATATCACCTTGGGGTGATGGACTTTCTCCCCCAGGGTCTTCCTCTTCCTGATGATTTTTCTTGCCGCAGCACTTCCTAACTTAATACTCAGAGCTGTATATATTTCAGGAAATAAACTCATCGCCTCCGTCCCAGCTGGTTCACTGTAAAACAAATACAAGCCCTGTGGCCTTTGCTAGTGTTCATTTATATATACAGTACATTCTAGCTCACCGCCCACCCTGGCTTTGCATTCCTGCCAGTGTACACTCTAGGAGGCAACAGGTGATGGTTCAGGTGGGGGAGACCCCCACACGGAAGAGCTGGATTGAGTTCTGGGCTCCTGGTGTCAGCCAGGCCACTGTGGGCATTTACAGAAGGAACCGATGGCTGGGAGCTCTGCCTCAAATAAGCAAAAGAATAAAGCAAAGTGTTGGAGACAAAGCTTGCCACAGAAGGTCATCCACATCAATTTGTTATGAAAGAAGGAATCCTGTTCATGCCCTAATGAAATAGTAACCAACATCACAATTCTGTCTGAACTAAACATCTATACAGTTCTCATGGAAAAGTTAGAGTGGAGCAAACTTTCTGCTCAGTGGCTCTCCTAACCTTTGAACCCACACCATCTATTGACAAGAGTGGAGCTTTCACTGGAAACACTAAACAAGAAGGATCAAGAACCAGAAGGATTTCCTTGAAGGGTTGGGACAAGAGATGAAATATGGTTTTTATCTAGTATGATCATCTAGACAAAAGGTATACAAGCTCTCTTTCTCTCACTGCAAATAAATAAAAAGGAACTGGCATTGTGGTGTTACAAGCTAAACCTCCTCTGTGCTACCTGCATCCCATATGGATGCTGCTCTACTTCTGGTCCATCTCCCTGCCAAAGCATCCAGGAAACCGGTCAGGGATGGTCCAAGGGTTCAGGCCTCTTTTAATTTTTGAGACTTGGAAGAAGCTGCTGTCTCCTGGTTTCAACCTGGTCCAACCCTGGCCATTGCTGTCATTTGGGGATTGAACCACAGATGGAAGCTCTCTTTCTCTCTACCTTTCAAATAAATAATAAACCTTTTTTTTAAAATTAAAGTTAATTTGGGCCCGGCGCTGTGGCGCAAGTGGTTAAAGGTCCTCGCCTAGCATGCCCGGGATCCCATATGGGCACCGGTTCTAATCCCGGTAGCCCCGCTTCCCTTCCAGCTCCCTGCCTGTGGCCTGGGAAAGCAGTCGAGGACGGCCCAAAGCTTTGGGACCCTGCACCCGAGTGGGAGACCCGGAAGAGGCTCCTGGCTTCGGATCGGCATAGTATTGGCCCGTTGCGCTCACTTGGGGAGTGAATCATGGGACGGAAGATCTTCCTCTCTGTCTCTCCTCTCTCTGTATATCCGCCTTTCCAATGAAAAAAATAATAAAAATAAATCTTTAAAAAAAAAAAATTAAAGTTAATTTTTTGGAGACCCGGCGTGGTGACCTAATGGCTAAAGTCCTCACCTTGAACACACCGGGATCCCATATGGATGCCGATTCTAATCTCGGCAGCTCCACTTCCCATCCAGCTCCCTGTTTGTGGCTTGGGAAAGCAGTCGAGGACGGCCCAATGCCTTGGGTTCCTGCGCCCGCGTGGGAGACCTGGAGGAAGTTCCAGGCTCCTGGCTTCGGATAAGCACAGCACCGGCCGTGGCGGTCACTTGGGGAGTAAATTGTCAGACAGAAGATCTTCCTTTCTGTCTCTCCTCCTCTCTGTATATCTGACTTTGCAATAAAAATAAATAAATCTTAAAAAAAATAAAGTTAACTTTTTAAAAAGTGACCACCAACAGGTGGAATTGGCCCTGTTAAAATAAAAGTGAGCTTGTCGACAGCAAAGGTCATAGCAAGACATTTTCCTTGTTGACTTTCTGGGGGCGGGAGAGGGCTAAGAATGATGACTTCTGTTTATTCTGAGAGGCTTTCTAGAAAGACAGCCAAAGCTTTAGCAGACAAGGGACTGAAAAAACTTTACCAGAGAGCCCCTTTTTCCATCACAGCATTATTCCTATTCATGTCTTGTCAAACAAGGGCAATTTTTCAAGTTTCAATTTGCAATCATTAGGCCACCCACATGAAAGTCCCGACTTGACTCTCAATTGCTTTTGTGCTGTAATTGAAAAAAAAAAGAAATCTTTCAACGGTCTCCATTTTGTCTTCAGTTAATAATGTGAAGAAGGACTCTTTGCCATAGTTAACTTCTCAGGACCTTCAGTTCTTCAAGGATGGATTTAATGATGCATCACTGTTTATTAATGTGTCTTGAACCTCATAGAGTTTATGTTGAGAAATAGTTTATAGCTTATCATTTAATCTTCCATGAATTTTGAAGGCCTCATGCGCATATTTCATAATTAGTCCAACACTGTATGTCCAAGTTCTAAAATAAAATTATTTTGCTTTCTCAACAGTATCAACATCACATAAAACACAGGAAAGTATTTTGAATTATAACATCATCACTGATTTGACTCTTTGCTTACTATCAACTCTAAGATGCAAATTTTCAACTTAAAATGTTAAATTTATTTTCATTTTTTAAAAGTTTTGTTTATTTATTCTTATTGGAAACTCAGATATACAGAGAGGAGGAGAGACAGAGAGGAAGATCTTCTGTCCAATGATTCACTCTCCAACTGGCCGCAATGGCGGGAGCTGAGCCAACCCAGAGCCAGGAGCCAGAAGCTTTTTCTGGGTCTCCCACATGGGTGCAGGGTCCCAAGGCTTTGGGCCATTCTGGACAGCTTTCCCAGGCCACAAGCTGGGAGCTGGATGAGAAAGGGGCTGCTGAGACTGGAACTGGTGCCCATATAGGATCTCAGTTTATGCATGGTGAGGACTTCAGCCGCTAGACTCCCACGCTGGACCCATTTTCATTTTATTTTAAAGACTTATTTATTTTTACTGGAAAGGCAGATTTGCAGGGGGATCTTCCATCTGCTGGTTCACTCCCCCAAAGCCCACATAGGCCAGAGCTGAGCCGATTCAAAGCAGGGAGTCAGGAACCTCTTCTAGATCTCCCATGCAAGTGCAGGGTCGCAAGGACTTAGTCCACCTTTGCTGCTTTCCTAGGTCATAAACAAGGGGCTGGATGAGAAGTGGAGCAACCTGGAAGTAAACTGGCACCCATATGGGATGCCAGCACCCGGAGGTGTAAGATCAGCCTATTGAGCCATTGTTCTGGCCCCATTTTCATTTTATTTTAAAGGTGGAGAGGCAGAGTTCTATCTGCTGGTTCATTTCTTAAGAGCCCACAACAGCTGGAGCTGGGCCAGAGCAAAGTGAGGAGTCTGGAAACCCTTCTGGCACCCTGTCTCACCATTGCTTGCCGCCTCCTGGGCTGTGCATTAGCTGGAAGCTGACGCAGGACTTACAGCAGACTCTAACATGGGGCACCAGGCATGCCTGGTGGTGACTTGGTACGCCAACTGCCCACCCCAGTTCCCAACTTTTACACCACCCAAGTGGGTCGCAGTTCCTTCCGACCTCTCCTGAAGTCTAGTTCTCAGAAAGGGCATCTTGATTTGGTCTATATTTGGAGGCTCCACCAACCCCAAACTTCTCTGAACTAAATTCCCTACTTGTGGCTCTTCGGATTGAGCAGTAGCAGGGATTATCTGAAATTAGGATACCAGTGGAAATGTGTTGGTATTTTAAGAAGAATATTGTACTTTGTGGGAAGACAAAGCAGTATGTCTATACTACAATGGCTATTTGGGTGAACTGCTTTAGTTCTAGCAAATGGGATACTTTGAGAGGAGAAGATTTCATTGACATCTGTTTGGCTTATCCACCAAGTAGAGTGACAGACTTGAAGTGAATAGATTAGCTTAGGGCTTTTTACTGACGTATTAAAGCACGCATGGGTAAAATGATGTCCATTTCTTGTTTTACTTGAAAATACTAGAGTGCTCGCCAATTGCAAATAAGACTAAAATAGGATCGAAAAATCGTCCACAAATTTCAAAGTTGGGTTATGAGATTCATTTCCCCTACTTTTGGTATGTTTGAACATTTTTTTTTAACATAAAAAAGTGGAACAAAAAGAAAAAAAATGAGCAGTGACAAGTTCTTAGGCTTTTAGATGACCTGCAGGCTTTATCTTTGTACTTGGACTCTAGTTTTGCTAGAGATACTATCTATGAGATAGAGCTTTGCAAGCACTCTGCAATGAGAAATGTGATGGACCCTCCCTAAAGGTTCTAAGCGCTAATACCAGGCTGAATTAGGGCAGGTGTGTTTGGCAAAGGTTTAGGTTGTGACTCCATCAGAGATAAGTGCAGCAGGACATTGTGACCCTAGAAGGTCAGGGAGCACAGATTACAACTGGATAATATCTGTATGATAACAATACCTTTTGTATAACTGATTGGATATAATTTGTATGAGAACAGTTCAGTGGATAGCATGTGAATGAAAACACTTGGTAGAATATACGAAACAAAAGGAGTTTCAAAGAAAAGCACAGAAACAGGGGATGTGTTTTGTTGAAAAGCTCAATACCTCCTCCCTTATCCCATATGACCCTCAGTGTATAAAGTCTGATGCCACTAGTAAACTTGGGCTTTTGACCATCAGTCAGGGTCCACGCGTATTATTATTGGCTCCATGCACCAAGTCCATCGCTGTAGCACAGCGACAGATAAGAACTCCAGCCAATAAATGTTGCAGTCTGTTTAAGAATCAGTATGGGGCCCGGCGCGGTGGCGCAAGTGGTTAAGGTCCTCGCCTTGCACGCCCGGGATCCCATATGGGCGCCGGTTCTAATCCCAGCAGCCCCGCTTCCCTTCCAGCTCCCTGCCTGTGGCCTGGGAAAGCAGTCGAGGACGGCCCAAAGCTTTGGGACCCTGCACCCGCGTGGGAGACCCGGAAGAGGCTCCTGGCTTCGGATCGGCATGGCATCAGCCATTGCGCTCACTTGGGGAGTGAATCATCGGACGGAAGATCTTCCTCTCTGTCTCTCCTCTCTGTATATCCGCCTTTCCAATGAAAAAATAATAAAAATAAATCTTTAAAAAAAAAAAAAGAAAAAAAAAGAATCAGTATGATCCCCAGGTGATGTTGAATTCTAATGACCTGCTGTTAGCCATTAGGTAGGTGAAGAAAATGCTATTTATAAGTGACAGGTGTGAAAGAGTGGAACTAAGTTCTTTCCACTAATGAGCCTGATCCCAAATTGGCAAATGGGTGATTTTAAAGCAGTGCTAAATTACAGGAATTCAGTTATCTTACTAGCACATGGATTCAGGGAGACTCCCTGGGATACCCAGAGTTCTATACATAAATTGGGTTTAATTTCTCAAAGAGTAACTGGAGCTTCCTGTAATCAGAATGGGAATAAGGATAAGCTGAGCGCTTACATGTGGTACTTAAAGGAGAAAATTCACAGTGTGTCTTGTAGCTGTTAGTTGATAGAAAGGTAAGGTCAGGTTGTAGAACTTGCTGGATTAATCTTGCTCTCCTTCTATAGCTCAGTGTTTCCCTCCAGCAGACCTTCTGCCTACATTGTAACGGTTGCAAAGCTCTTAGGCAGAAATGGATGTGGAGGGCAGTAACAAACAGCCAAGTGGGAAATTAGGCTTTTCCCCTTGTGAGGAAGAGAACAAAGCACAGAGAGGACCAGAAGAGGGCGAGGGAGTCCAGAGCCAGACTCCGGAGAAGCTGGAGGTTCAGGACTCAGAGTCCTTCAGGACACCCCAGAGGAGCAGAAGTGGGGTCCCTGGCACCTTCCAGGAAAGAGGCAAACCCATGCTAGTCCCAGTTCCGAGGACTCCAGTGTCAGACTCTCCCACATGTCCTGAGACACCAACTATGTCAGAGAAAAGGAGCAAGATGCTGCATGCTGAGAGCCCCTCCACTCCTAAAGTAAGTTGTGCGGACAGCGGGACTTAAGTTACCAGGATCTGTTTTCCTGACTTAGCTGATGAAGAGAGAACAGAGCCTCTTCACGTGTGGAGGACAGATAGACTTGTCTCATAGGCTGTGGATGTCCTCAGTGGTATCTTAAGAGGAATTTAAGGTTACCTGGTAACATGTGAAATTAAATGTTTTCCCATAGTCTTTTTTTTAAGATTTATTTATCTTTATGGATAAAGATAAATATCAGATATACAGAGAGGAAGAGAGACAGAGGAAGATCTTCCATCCATTGATTCACTCCCCAAGCGGTCGCAATGGCCTGAGCTGAGCTGATCTTAACCTAGGAGCCCAGAGCCTCTTCCAGGTCTCCCACGCAGGTGCAGGGTCCCAAGGCTTTGGACCATCCTCAACTGCTTTCCCAGGCCACAATCAGGGAGCTGGATGGTAAGTGGGGCTGCTGGGATACAAACTGGTGTCCATATGGGATCCCAGTGCATGCAAGGCAAGGACTTTAGCTGCTAGGATACCGTGCTGGGCCCTTCCCATAGTCTTATTACATCAATTGGCAGCAGTAACCATTTGCTATTGGCCACAATTAAGTTTGGGTGGGAAAAAGCTCCTGGTTAAAGAATAATAAAACCAGAAGGAATGCGGAGATCCAAACCCCGAACCTAAAACTTTATGTATAGGAAATTCAAGGTTCCCACAGAGCAGTTGATTTACAGCTCGGGGAACTCCTTGGTTTAATGGAACACAGGCTCTCCTATGGAACACATGAGCCAAGAAGTCATTTGTTGATTTTTTTTCATACACGGAAGATGAAGAAGGTTCAGTGAAAGTGTATTCCTTTATTTTTACTGTGATTAGCATCCTATTACATTTTCATATCATTGAAGCCAGGGATGGGGCAGGGTTACCGGCAATAAACTCTGGTGTCACGCTGTGTGATCCTCTGCTTCCTGCTGGCTCTGCTGGAGGTACTTAAGATCATCATGGTAACATCTGTAATCCTGACTGCAGCACAGTCCCTCCCAGCAGGTTGCTTCAGAACCCACTGAGCATGCGTGCCACGTCTACCAGAAAATCCTAAGGCAAATGAACAGGGCTGGATGGGTTCCCCTCCCTCAATGGTTCCAACTACACCCAATCAATCATACATGCTTTTGAAAGCCCAGCGTGTAAGAAACATTAGACACGGTGTCTTCCAAGAGCTTACAGTCTAGCCGAAAGAGAATGGGGGTGAGGAAGGGAGAAGATTGGGCTGTTAAGCACTATATGAGAAGTGCTTCAAGAATGGTCAGAGTTCTCTAGATAGTTTGATCTCAGTGAGGTGATGAGGAAAAGAAGTACAGATGTAGGATGCATGTGACAGGTAATGACACGTCGTACAGCTTTGACAGATGACGGGGAACGAGGCTCAAAGTAGGAGTATACAGGTGAGAGACTGATGGGTAGTTCATCCATCTGCTCATTCACAGCTCACTTGGACACCTGGATGACCCTCTGCATGGAAAACCTTAGTGCCTTTCAAAAGCAACCTCCGCATGAACAAACAGAAACTAAACAACTCCAGTTTAGATCATGTGTACTAGAAGAACTGTAGAGCATGATGACAAAGAAATAGGAATTAAATCTAAAAATCTAAAGAAAATGTTTGTGACAATCTTAGAGCATGAACTGGAATTTACAATCTTGAGAGGGGAATGAGAGCCATAAGCAAACTGAAAAGCATCCACGTTAGTAGGGAAAAGGAGTGCTGCACTTGGAACACTATGTTACTCAGTGTGTTTGGCACCTGTGTGTGTGAGTACAGGGAATGAGGCCAGAGTGGACAGGTGGACAGATCAAATGTTATGCTGAAAATGTTGCAAGAACCATTCAAGGGTTTGGAGTTGAGGCATGTTTGAAAACTTATTTTAGTGTGCAGTATGGGATCAGCAGGAACCTGGGGGCAGGGGAGTAAATTCACAACAGCACATAACTGCGCTGATCCCACACAGAGATTTACTTGAAAGATAGAGCTACACAGAAATGGAGAGACACAGAGGGAGTTATTCCATCTGCTGGTTCTTTCTTCAGATGGCCAAAGTGGCTGTAATTAGGTCCAAGCCAGGTTTCCCACATAGAAAGCAGGGGCCCAAGGACAGGGGTATTTTTGGCAATCATCCCAGCAAGTAGCATGGTGTTGGATCAGAGTGGTGTGGCAGGAACTGGAGCAGCATTAATTATTTAATTATTTTTCACATTAAAATTTTTATTTGAAAGGCATAGTGACAGAGAGAGAAAGAGAAACATAGATATTCCATCTGTTGGGTCACTCCCAAATGGCTGCAACACACAGGACTGTACCAGGCCAGGCTGGGCTAAAGCCAGGAGCTTGGAACTGCATATTTCCCAAATGAGTGGTAAGGGGTAAGTTCCATTTGGACATCTTCTACTGCCTTCCCAGGCACATTAGCAGGCAACTGGATTACAGGTGCTGTTGCTGTTGCTGGAACCCACAGCTTACCTGGTTGAGCTGCAGTACCAGCCTCTTAAGGATTTATTTTAGGGTACTATTTTTCAATCACTTTACCCTAATTCATCAGAGCTTTTACCACTTAATACTGCATTTTAAGTGAGGTTGGACATTTTTTGTGTGTTTAGTAAAATTTTCCTCTTACAAGTAATTATTTCTGAAACACTACTGCAGGGCCTATTAACAGCTTGTATATTCCTTGACAGCTGGAATCCGTCTCTGTATTCATGCTTGTTCAGAAAATGATACTCTGTAGGCACTAACTAAGAGGGGACGGTAACATGCAAACCCTGAAAGCACTTCAAGATGAGAGGCTTATGGGGTCATTCGTTTAAAATCCTCATTTTAAAAACTGGAAGTGGGACTGAGATTGGCTGTTTGTATAGGTAGTTAGCAGAACTGTTTATGGAAAGGGGTAGAACTTAGTAAAAGCATAGACTTCTGTGTTGATCCCTTGAATTAAATATTTAGAGGTACAAACAGGGGTTCGGTATCTTCTCTTATCAGCACCCATAACAATGTGTCTAGTTTGCATGGCATCAGATCATTTGTAAAGCATCTCTCAGCAGAAAGGTTGAAATGTTAACTAGCTAACTGATAGGAAAGTCTTCTTGCTATCCTGACTCCACTGTGACTGCTTTTCGTGTTTTCATTCAGAACCTGCAGAGCCAGCCTCCAGCAATTTCTTCAACAGTGAAGCTCTCCTCCAGAGGCTCCCAGCATTTCAGGCACACGCCTGTTTCCCTCAGGGATGAGATGGCCTCCCTGGCTTTGGTCAATGTTAATCCCTTCACTCCAGAGTCCTTGAAAAAATTATTGCTTACATCCAACGGCAAGAGGAAAACCCGAGGAGATGTGTAAGCACTTGGATACCTGTGTTTTTTGAGACTTTTTGACTTTTTGAGAGGTAACAAGACTGTCAAAAGTAGGAACGAGAATTCTATTTGAGTGAATCTGAATGTTTACATGTTTTCTCCCTCCCTAAATGCCAATGTTGATTTTCACCTGGTTGTCAGAGATTCTAGAATCTTTACATTTTAATATGTACTGTAGATGCCTTCTCTATAAAAGAGCAGGTCAGAGTAAGCAAAAAGATTTCTGACTTCCATTAAAAAGATGAATTGACTAAGGAATTGCATTCAGGTTAATAAAAGGCTAACAATTGGGGAAGGCGATAGTTCACATTTCAAAGAATGTATTGCTGCTTTGGCTGGAGAGCATGCGGCAGATGATAAGAATTAAGAAGAACAGATTTGAACTTCTCTGCAGGTTATGGAAAATTGAAGAAAAACATATAGTGCTCCTTTCAGGGCCTAAAAAAATGAAAAGCCAAACTTTCCTTTTCACAAAGATCACGTGATGGTAGAACTCAAATACATGATACTCAAGAATACTTCCTTGTAATTCTTTAATATCTTTCTAAATAGAATGGAAATATTTCTAAAAGAAGGCAATTTTTTGACTCATACAGTAAGTGTGCAGCTATCAGTATAATCATTGCAGATCATTTAATGTGCCACCTTGAGTAATTTCCTTGGAATCAGTTGCTGCTAATCAGCTTTGTGGCCAGATATGTTTGTTCAATACCATCTTCTGAATCTCAAGGGAACCGAACTTTAGCACAATTATATTTAGTCTACTTGGTTACCAAAAATTCCATTGTAAACCATCAGAATGAATGGCTAAGAACAGATAGTCCACTTGAATTCCTGGCTGTGAAGGTGGTAACACTCTAGTAATGCTGTTTAATGCTTCAAAGAAGGCAGTTTTATCCCTTTTATGTTGTTTTGTAAAACATTAGAAGTAATATTAAAGTGACAAGTGTCTAGTATTGTTAGTGGATGAGTAACATAGATTCTTGCCTTGTGCAAGGAAGAATTCAGACATGAGACAGCAACTACCATTAAGCAAAGTAGCAAGGTCTAAGAGGGTAGGGCATCCACCAGAATACATGGGCACTTCTCCAGACAGATTGTGAGAGTGCCCAGTCATTTAGGGCACAGTTGCATGGTTTAATGGAGAGAATACACCCAACAGGCTAGGCAGGTAGCTTAGGAGAGACCTGAGAGCCGAGTACATCGTCTGTATTCAGACTGGGGCTTATAAGAAAATGTGGTCCGGCTTTTCTTATTTCTCTTTCCCTTCTTTTCTCTTCTTTCAGAGGGTTTTCTGGGTATGAAATAGGTAACAATCCCCCTAAGGTTTTACTGCCTACTGTTCTCAGACGGGGCAGCCAATGTGGCACTGAGCAGAGGAGACTGTTCTAGAGTGCCTTCCTTGGGGAAGTGAGCACCTGTCTGAACAGGACTTGGGAAGCTTCCAAGGTGTGCTGCTGAGGCTGAGGCTGCTGAGGACTGCCGGGTTCTTTCCTTTCAGCAGTTTTCCTTAAGCCTCTCTCCTACACAGCCAATCTATAACTCCTTACTCAACAGTATCAGTTAATGTCCATGGTGATAGTGTCCTCCACTTGTCATTTCTACCCTGTTCTTTACAAGCAAAAGCCACATCTGGCTAATCTGTAAGCTGGTATCTTTCTGAAGATCCAGAATCCAATTATTTGTACACGAGAATGAGGTGGGTACTGCAGTGCAGCAGATGAAGTCACCATTTGGGATACCAGCATCTCCTCTGCAGTGCCATTTTTGAGATCTGGCAATTCTCCTTTTACAGCTTCCTGCTAATGCACCCAAAAAACAGCAGATAGCAGCTTGAGTGCTTGGGTGGCCATGCCTTGCCATCCACATGGGTGACCTGAATGAAGTTCTGGGCTCCTGGCTTCAGCTTGGCCCAACCCTGGCTGTTGTTGGCATTTGGGGGAATGAACAGGATAAAAGATAAGAGATTCTCTCTTCCTCTGCATCCCTCCTCTCCCCCCGCCCCCATCACTTAAGTACATTTATTTTTAAAGAAAGATATGTCACCGACTTCAGCTCTTTGAAAAGCAATCGAAAATATTTTAGGATTACAGATTATTTTGCTATTCTTACTATTTATGAAGTGAATACAGGGCCCTGCTCTGAAGTGGGCGGGTGTGGAAAGGAGAGAACAGTGTGGCAGTGCGGGGTAAATGCTTTGGGTCATGCTGGTTTCAATTCTTAGTTCTTCCACTTACTAGTTATGTTACCCAGACTTATAAAACCCTCTTTATGCCTTCATTTTCTCATTAGATAATAATCCCCACTTGCTGATTTTATATATGTGCTGTTCTCTTCCAATTCTTTTTTTTAAGACTTATTTATTTTTATTGAAAAGGCAGATTCGCAGAGAAGAAAGACAAAGAAAAAGGTTTTCATCTATTGGTTCACACCCCACCCCCCCCAATCCCCAGATAGCCATAATGGTTCAAGCTGAGCAGATCCAAAACCAGGAGCCAACAGCTTCTCCTGGGTCTCCCACATACAGGTGCAGGGTTCTAAGGTTTTGGGCCATCCTCTACTGCTTTCCCAAGACACAAACAGGGAGTTTGTTGGGAAGTAGAGCAGCAGGGTTACAAACCAGCACATATATGGGATCCCAGAGGCAGATTAGTCAATTGAGTCATTGCACTGGGCCCACAAACTGTACTCTTCTAATTCTAAGTATTCAGTGTTCTACTTGCCTAAAAATTGGGATCTTGGCTTACAAATCCTCTATCCCAGGAAAGTTTTTAACTAGAAGTAATTTACTGAGGACTTGCTACCTTGTTGTAATCCTGCCCTAGACTGTTAACATTAAATTTCCCGATTATTCCTGCTTTCAATACAAATTGAAGAGGGAGAAAGAATATTTACACATTTATCTCTACTAGGAGGAATAGAACCAGGTTCATGGGTGTTAATGACACACTGATATATATTTTTCTCTTTTTTTAAAGTGAGGAGACTGATCCAGAAGAAGGCAAATTAAAACAAGGGTTACCTGCCAAGGTGAGCATGATTTTTTGGCTCTGCTTTTACAATGCAGATATTTCACTGTATTTTCCTCTTTCCTCTCCTCTTGCCATACCTTTATAGTTTTGCAAAAATGCACTGCATATGAACTTATCTGAACCCAAGTCAACATCCATATTCTCAGGCAGTTTTTACTTTGCCAGGCACTGTTTGATATATATGAATTATTACCTTAGAATACTTTTAAATGAATGGATGCTGTCTTTCTGCCTAAAGTGAAAATTTTGATATTCATGTGATATAGAAGTGAAAGTAAAATTGAGAGTTTTGGTCCATGAATGGAAAAAAGAAATGAAGAACAATGCCATAAGTTAGAGATTTATGTAAAATTTTCTCTCTTAAATGTGCCCACATGTATTGATTTCCATAATGCTTATTATGTTTGATCAAGTAGTCCTCATCTGAAAATCTAGCCTAAGAAAATAATATTGTAAACAGTCCCCTTATTGATGTTCATTGCATCACAGTTAGTGGTCACAGTTAACTAAAAGGAGCAGGAAATGGAGGGACCGAGTGTCTAATACAGAATAGTGACTAAATTCACTGTAATTTTAAGTTAGTGCAATATTAAATTGCCATTATAGTATTAATAATATGATAACATGCCTATGTTTAGTGCACAAGAGTAACAATGTAGTATGTTGAATGAACCCAACGACGTGCTTCATATTAAGCCCATTATAAATGTGGTCTAACATCTCTGAATGGTGAGAACCTGATGGTTGTTCTTGATTCTAGTTCCTAAAATTGTTTGAAAAGTTTTATTCTCGTAAATAAAATCAGCTAATCCTGAATACGCACACTTGGCTTCTATGACAAGCTTGGAGAAGGAAGCCAGGGAGATCATCCTTCACATATAAACGTTTCTGATTCATGGTGTTGCTACTTCACTCTTAAATTTTATTCCTAGCTTGTAAATTGTCTTCTGATTTTAGATAGAAAGGCCAACAGTATTCATTGAGCATTCAATATGTTCAAAGCGCTGATTGTATTTAGATCGTATAAGGTAAAAATTCTATACAAAAGAAAGTAAGACGTTAACGCATGAACACAATGTATACATAAATGTGAAGCTAAATTTGTGCAAACATGCGATGTTTATATATACTCAGACATGTGTATGTTTAAAATGTACATGATGGTGCCAGTAACAAGCAAAGTATGGGTAGAAAAGACAGTGATTGCTATTATAGCACTAGGCAAAGGGAGTAAGCAATTTAATGCCTCAAAGGCAAAGAACAGTTGATGCACATGAGAAGGGGCAGGTGGGCGGGTGAGTGGTCGCATTAGGTGGGTCATTTGGTGTCTGAGATGAAGGTTGTAGGTAATGCCTGTAGAATTGTTAGGATGCCTCGAAACCTCTTTTGTAAATTTGAATTTCTCTTGGGACATAGTTATGCATCTCTGATTATGTGGTATCATTTTGCCAGAAAACAACTTATACTATTAGGAGTTGGGAGAGATTATAAAAGCTTTGGCAAACCCTCATATGCTGGGGACAGAATCTAAGATTCTCTAAGAGTTATGAAAATTACAGGTCTTGCTTATGACAATGATTAGATTTGGATATTGAAAATGAAGCACTAGTGAGAAACAGGAATTTTAAACTAAAGTTAGAGAAATTTCCACTAATTAGAATATTTGGAGGGCCCAGCATGGTAGCCTAGTGGCTAAAGTCCTCATCTTGCACGTGGCCAGATTCCATATGGGTGCCGGTTCTAATCCCAGCAGCCCCGTTTCCCATCCAGCTCCCTGCTTGTGGCCTGGGAAAGCAGTCGAGGACGGCCCAAAGCCTTGGGACCCTGCACTCACATGGGAGACCCGAAAGAGGTTCCAGGCTCCTGGCTTCGAATTGGCTCAACTCCGGTCCTTGCGGCTGCTTGGGGAGTGAAACAATAGATGGAAGATCTTCCTCTCTGTCATTCCTCCTCTCTGTATATCTTTTTTTTTTTTTTTTAAGATTTATTTTTATTATTTTTTCATTGGAAAGGCGGATATACAGAGAGGAGAGACAGAGAGGAAGATCTTCCGTCCGATGATTCACTCCCCAAGTGAGCGCAACGGGCCGATACTATGCCGATCCGAAGCCAGGAGCCTCTTCCGGGTCTCCCACTCGGGTGCAGGGTCCCAAAGCTTTGGGCCGTCCTCAACTGCTTTCCCGGGCCACAGGCAGGGAGCTGGAAGGGAAGCGGGGCTGCTGGGATTAGAACCGGCGCCCATATGGGATCCCGGGCGTGCTAGGCGAGGACTTAACCACTTGCGCCACCGCGCCGGGCCCCTCTCTGTATATCTAACTTTCCAATAAAAATAAAATAAATCTTTTTTTCAGAAAAAGAATATTTGGAAAACATGACCTTGGAAAATAAGCACTGGGCTGGTGCGCTGACTCGCCTGGCTGATTCTCCACCTCCAAGTGCAGATGCCCGTATAGGTGCCAGTTTGTGTCCTGGCTGTTCCACTTCCACTGAGTTCCCTGCTTGTGGCCTGGGAAGGCAGCAGAGGACAGCCAGAGCCTTAGAACCCTGCACTCACATGGGAGAGCCAGAGGAGGCTCCTGGCTCCTGGCTGCAGATTGACTCAGCTCGGGCTATTGCAGTCATTTGTGGGGTGAACTTGCAGATGGAAGATCTTTATCTCTCCTTCTCTCTGTAACTGCCTTTTCAGTGAAAATCAATCTTAAAAAAAAAAAGTGCAGATTTAGATTTATGTCTAATTATGTAGATTTTAGTAAAATTGTTTTTTAAAACATTTATTTCTTTTTATTACAAAGTCAGATATACAGAGAGGAGAAGAGACAGAGAGGAAGATCTTCCATCCGATGGTTCACTCCCCAAGTGACCACAACTGCTGGAGCAGAGCCAATCTGAAGCCAGGAGCCAGGAGATTCTCCAGGTCTCCCACGCGGGCGCAGGGTCCCAAGGCTTTGGGCTGTTCTCAACCGCTTTCCCAGGCCACAAGCAGGAAGCTGGATGGGAAGCAGGGCCGCTGGGATTAGAACCAGCGACCATATGGGATCCCTGGCGGTGCGTGCAAGATGAGGACTTTAACCACTACGCTACCGTGCCGGGCCCTGATTTCAGTAAAAATTTTAAAAACTTCTCATGGTAGATATTATGTTAAGATATGTATTATATGTAATGTATATTACATTATAATTATAATATACTCTTCATACGCATTATATATTGTGTGAGATTTTCAAGTACCCTGAGGCATAGCTGCTATAATTCTCATGTTACAGATAAGGAAACAGAGAGAAGCCCGTGATCTCCTGTGGTCATTTACTATGTGTGAACTAGATGACACAGCTAGTTTGCTAGTGTGGTGACTGGTCACTGTAACTCAGCACATGCCGAATTTAACCAGTTCAGCCATTTTCTTTTAAATGCTGAGATGTTTTTTGAAAACAAATGTGTTTATTAAGCTTGGGGTAGAAAAGCATGCAGAGTTTGAAACAGGCACAGCCAACAGTCAGAGGGAGATCTTTATTTTTGCGTTAAGCGCGATCCACTTTGCTCCCTGCCATTCTGCCAGCTGAGGGCACAAGCTGTGAGTGTGAGACGTGTCTCTCCGAGAACACACCAAAAAGATCAGTATGCCTAGACAGAAAAATTGAAAACCATGAGAGAAATGTTAGTGTGGAGCTGTATGTAAGGTCACGAGGAACATAAAAGGTCGTCAGCAATTAGTGCTGACGTGGATACTCATGTTACGTTTGCCTCGAAAGTCTGAAAATTTAGAAATACTTAGAAATGTAATTTGTGCCATGGTATTGCTTATGATGTTTGGCAAAAATTATTTTAACTTCCTTTGTATTAACAAATTTTAGAGATGTGTCATGAGAGAAACCAACATGGTCACACGCTATGAAAAGGAATTTTTGGAGGTGGAAAAAATTGGCGTTGGGTCATTTGGTACAGTCTACAAATGCATTAAGAGGTTGGATGGCTGTGTCTATGCAATAAAGCGTGCTACGAAGCCATCTGCAGCGTCTTCGAACGAGTGAGTCCCTTGATCACGCGCTGCCTCAGCAGGACGTGCACACTTTGATTTCGAGAGACATTTCTTATCAAGATTAAACACCAATACTAAAAACATGCCATTTTCCTTCCTAAAACGACCTCTTGCTGCCTGTTGTATGATGCTTCCTGAACGGTAACATCGTTTCAGATCATGTTGTATTTTGGGGAGCTCAGCTTTGCTCTCTACCCTTGGTCTCACTGCCTATCAGACACACCGATCTGAGGAATCTCAGTGATGCCTGGCTAGCTCAGCAGACACACTGCCAAGCAGGGGCTTATTGTTAACTCACAGTTCTTTCTCTGCTTTGTATTAACAATAAATCCAATAGTCACGTTTCAAAATTTTTGCTTCGTTCCCAGAATCAAATGTTGAAATGTGCTTACTGCAAGGAAAACATTTTCAGATTCAGCCAATGCTTCTTATGAACTGACACAGTGTTGGACATGTTGGATCTGTAATCACGTTATAGTCTTTGGGATTAATTTTTTATGCTGAAATGCATCCAGTACTATATTTTGCTTTTCTGTTTGGGTTTTATTTAGCCACATTTACTGCCTAAGGTATTACTGTGATTACATATTACTGCCTGAGTTTAATATTGACCTTCATGACTGCACAGCCCTTATAGGAAAGGTACAGACTTAATGCAATATCCATAATAGTGTATCATGGCCTTCTTATTAAACTCATTAGAGATTTTTTATTGTGACACAGAGAAATTAAGACCTAAAGGATGTCTGCCATTGAGGCATAACCACCTAAGGTTCCTATTTATATATGCCACATACAATCAAAGCAAAACTATGGACGTTGGTAGCAGACAGACCGAGTTTTTGGTGCAGTATGATCAGTTTGACTTTGGGTTTATCACTCATATTTTAGGGACTTCATATTTTTTTTAAAAGCAAACGGTTATGAAGATTAATGACAGCAAGAAACCAGTAAACATGGGCCCAGTGTGGTAGCCTAGTGGCTAAAGTCCTTGCTTTGCAGGTGCCGGGATCCCATATAGGCACTGGTTCTAATCCCAGCAGCTCCGCATTCCATCCAGCTCCCTGCTTGTGGCCTGGGAAATCAGTGGAGAATGGCCTGAGGCTTGGGACCCTGCACCTGTGGGGGAGACCCCGAGGAGGCTCTGGGCTCCTGGCTTAAGATCGGCTCAGCTCCATCTGTTGTGGTCATTTGGGGAGTGAATCAATGAATGGAAGATCTTCTTCTCTGTCTCTCCTCCTCTCTGTATATCTGACTTTCCAATAAAAAGAAATAAATCTTAAAAAAAAAAAAGAAACCGGTAAAAGCTTCATAATGTTCTGCCATTGTTAATAATAGTTAATGTCTTGTTTTAAAATATTTCATATTTTTTAGGGGGAAGATCTTCCATCTGCTGATTCACTCCCCAAACAGCCACAATGGCCAGAGCAGAACTGAAGCCAGGAGCCAGGAGCTTCTGCTGGGTCTCTCACATGGTTACAGGGTCTCAAGGCACCGCGTCATCCCTCACTGCTTTCCCAGGCCATAAACAGGGAGCTGGATCTAAAGTGGAGCAGCCAGGGCACAAACTGGCACCCATGTGGGATGTGGCACTTAGATGTGGAGGATCTGCCAGCTGAAGCCAATGCAACTGCCTGAAATATTGTAATGAACATTATTTTGATTGATTCCCCTAATGCTTTTCTGTTTCTTAGCAGTTCAGATTTGCGAGAAGTGTATGCGCACGCAGTGCTGGGCCATCACCCCCACGTGGTGCGTTACTACTCTGCCTGGTCGGAAGACGACTACATGATCATTCAGAATGAATACTGCAATGGTAAGTACGGTGAACTAGAATCTACAAGGAGGGATAGGAATGGATGGGACTCCAGAAATAAACTTTGTTTCACCAAATTGTATGCCAAGGGTCGCTGAATCATGCCTTTAAAAATGTCTGTTCTGTAGTCTTGCCTGGGAATAGAAACCTGCAGAAAATAAGTTGTGCTGAAAAGGAATTCCCAGGCTCCTTACTTGTTTTGTTACATATTTCTTTTAGAGTTATATGTAGCTGATACATAGGCTATCACTATTTTCACACTTACTGCTTAGAAAGCTTGTATGCTAATGGTTTAAGTGGTAAATAATCTTCACACCTATTGTTGCATATGCAGAGTGATACAAGCTTACCAACTTTGGAGATTTGGGTAAACTGCCTACATCACCCTTTGGTTTCATACACAGAAAGCTTATGATTAGTTTTGAAGTAGATTCTTAAGTAGCAGAGTTTTTATCATTGAACTCCATGGTTCTCATCAACTGCGTGGACTGAAGTGCTCAGAAAGAAACTTTGTAACTTTATGTATTCTACATCCTCTATGAACACACGTGTTTTTCTAGGCTGTTTAGATCAGAAAGAATAGTTCTTTGGTTTACCACACTTCTGTGGTAAATGGTCAATACAACAGAATTTATGCATTGTTAATCTTGAAAATCTTTGTCATCAAAACGTTATGTTGTAAAGTAGAAAGTGCTACAAACTGAGTAAACATTTGCTTTCCTTTTTTAAAAGATTTATTTGTTTTTATTGGAAAGGCAGATTTACAGAGAGGACAGAAAGAAAGATTTTCCATCTACTGGTTCACTCCCCAAGTGGTCACAGCGGCCAGAGCTGAACTGAGCTGAAACCAGGAGCCAGGAGCTTCTTCCAGGTCTCCCATATGGATGCAGGGTCCCAAGGCTCTGGGGCATCTTCTGCTGCCTTCCTAGGCCACAAGTTTCAAAGTGGAACAGCTGGGACACAAACCGGCAACCATATGCAGTCCTGACACTTGAAGGGGTAGGGTACTGAATTGCAATTCAGCCATTGCATTGGGTCCCATGCCATCTCATTTCAAGAGGAGCAACTCATGTTCCAGCCAGCGGCATGTTTCATAGCCACATTCTTCTCCCCATGACATCCATGTTCTTTGTTTTATAGAAGTTTCTCATTTAGTATTTATAGCAACTATTAGGTGGCTTTTGAGGACAGTGATTAGTGATAAAGTTTCATTATAGAAATGAATAAACAAATTAAATAATATTGTAAATGCCAGAAATATGCAAAGTAGTACATGCATCCCACAAAACAATGACTTGGCATTGTATTTTTCTTCTTGCATTACCTGTAAATTTTGTATGACTTTTTTTCTCTTATAAATGCAGCAAAAATTTTTTCTGCTTATAATAGATGCAGGGTGAAGAATGGATTCTTTATGTTGATGATGATGCAGAAGTTGAGACTTTTCTCAATCTTCCCTTTCTAGTCCCTTTTTCACGTAACCTGAGATTTCCTGTTCCTTTTCCTTCCCTCTCTCTGTAGGCAAGACTGATTTTATTTATGTAACTTTCACCAAATAAATACAATAGCAAATAAAAATTAGTAACTGTTTTAATTGGACTTGGAGCAATCTGAGTTTCTGATAATTTCCAAAAGAATAATACAGAATGATTGTTACTACCATAAATAATCTCGTGATTCATTTTCTCATTTGAGCACCTTCTAGGGGTAGGACATAAATGAGACTGTAAAGTAACAAATACTATAAAGAGAAGTTAAACTCTTCAAGAGAATTTACTCCACTTGTTCTGTTACAACATGCATAAGAGACAATTTTGTGCAAAGCTGGAACATATGACTATGAATGAAAAACAAATAGAGACGATATAGTGAGCAAGATACATCATAATTTGCTGGGTACAGCCTGTATTTCAAGTCAAGGATACCTGGGTTCAAAGCTCAGCGAGGCCACTGTCACTAGCCGTGACAGTCACACTTACTTATGGGGGAAATGTGAGGACTGCCTAGAGTATTTACCAAATGTTAGCATTGTGTCATTATCTCATACCTAGTAAAAACTCAATCACAGTCGCTATTAAAATAGCTTGAAAAAGTTACGTAAATGAATAAAACTTGAGTTGAACTTTGCAGAAGGATTTCTATAGCTGAGTAACTTAAATGACATGAGGAGAACAGCGTGCAGGTCAATAGCATGGTACTGACAATGAGTCTGACTTAGCAAACAGTAAGGATGCTAATGTGATTGAGGTGACCTCTGTACTTGAAGAGAGGTCAACAAGGTAAAGAATGGGGGAGAACTAGACCAGTATCTGAAAAGCCAGGTTCCATGTAATAGGTTATAGGGAATTGCCTACTCATTGTGGCCATGAACTCCTCTACCAGCTAATTAAAATGTAATTTTGATCTTGCATAATATAATCCACACCTATTGAACTTTTCAAAGTAAGCTAAATATGAAAAACATAGATTGCCCTTACACTTTGTCTTTTCTTTAGTCCTGGATAATCCATGTTGAGATTTTGGCTTGTTGCTCTAAAGAATAATAAATCCAAAGTTTGCTGGAGTTGGAGGGAAGCCAGTGTCTCATTCTTCCCCTTTGCCTTCCCTACACCTCCCTTTCCATGCCCATCCTTAGCCCATCCTATCACAGCAATTAGGCTGCAAGATGGGGAGCTATGACTTCACTTACGTGAACTGTACTCATCTAATTTTCTCTGCTCCCCATCTTGAGCCTTGAGGCAAGCAAATGGTCTGCCTTCTCCCTGACCCTTACCAAGTTTGTCTGCAAGTCACTTCCGGGTCAGCCTTAGAAAGCTAACGAGTCTAATGGGTTCTTTCTAACTCAGCACTGGACTACTGAAGTCTCCCTAAAGCAGTGTTTCTTCCTGTTGTTGAAGTTTTACATAACCTGCTTCCCTGCAACAGCTGCTCTCACTCTTGCTTGGACAAGGTGATGTCCCCAAGTTAGTGCCCTCTGAGAAACAACACAAATATTGCTACATTTTTCCATCAAACAAACAAGACTGTGTTTCACAGAAGTAAGATATGCTTGAATTCTAGGCAGCAACATTAAATATTGTGAGAATACAAATGTATGAACAAAAAATCCTGCTGAATTATTGATATGCTTTTAGCATTTTATTGTTAGAAGGCATCTGTTGTTTGCATTGGTATCTGTTAGGCCTCAGCAGCACAGCAGGAGGTACAGCTTTTACTTCCTGCCAAGTGGGCTGAAGCATCATTGTTTTACCTTCCGGGAGACATGAGCAGCTCAGTTCACATGGATGGCTGCTTCCTCCTTGGGCACAATGTTTGCAATTATTTAACTGTCTTTAGATGGTATTCAGGGTTACAGAGTTAAAACTTCATTGTGACTACATTAGTCCTGATGAAGCTCCTCACTCTTTGTTCAGTATTGCTACGTCTATAAACACATACTTCCTTGTTGGTATATTTATTAGAGAACAGTTAATTATATGCTTGCATTAGAGGTGGACAATCAGCCTTAACTATAGCAAAATAAGGATATTCTTGGCATATATGAATACTTTTCAGTAATTTTTGTTACTGATAATTGCCTGGATAATTTCAATCTAATAATTTACAGAGCCTCTAGGTATTTAAAAGTGATGCCAGGACTGGTCTAACTGCCTGTACAGTTAGACCTACAGTTCTTTCACAGATTAAAACTGTCTTTGCTTACAATCTGCAGGGCTACACTCAAGGATTTCCGGGAATACAAGAGGCTTGTTTTCTTTAGCAGACCCTTGATTTTCTCCTTTGTTGCTAGGGTAAACATTTAGTTTAGGAAATATTTACTACATGCAACAATCAAGAAAGAAAAATGAATTATGTGGTTTTTGTCTTTAAGGGACACCCACCCTAGCTAGTAGGCAAACAAAGAAATCCTGTGAATGTAGCCCTCTTCTTGTTATACCTTGTAACATCATCTGTGACCTCAGCCTGGGAGAAACCCAGTGCTTTGAAGCTTTTGCTTCCATTGAAGAGGCAGGGAGATGGAGCTCCCATGCATTGGTTCACACGCCAAATGCTTGCAATAGTTTCAGCAGGGCCAGGAAGAAGCTGGGATCTAGGAATTCAATCCAGGTCTCCCACATAGACAGCAGGGATCCAACCACTTGGGTTATCACTGCTGATTCCTGGGTCTGTATCAGTAGAAAGCTAAAGTTGAGAGCTGGAGATTGGACTCAAACGCAGATACTTCATGATGGACGCTGGTATCTTTTAAGTTTTATTTGAAAGGAATTGTTGAGAGATAATATGAATTTCTTCTCTGCTAATTCAAATGGCTGCAACAGTTATGGCTGGGTCAGGCCAAAGCCAGGAACTTTATCTAGGTGTCCCATTTGGATGCAAGGGCCCATGGACTTCAGCCACCTACTGTTTTCCTGGTCCATTAGCAGGGAGCTGGATCTGAAGTGGATCAACCAGGACATGTGTGCCCAAGTGACATGCTGGTGATACAGCTGGGATTTTACCCATTATGCCACCATGCTAGTCCCCAGACACTGGTATCTTAATTGCAGTTTTAACTGCTAGGCCAAATAGCTACTTTATGACTTGCTTTTTAAAGGCTCCAATAATTCTCTCTGCTTGCCTATTATTTCTAATTAATAATGTATATAAAGTACAGTGATTTGTGGTTATAAGGACTCATAGTAAAATATCTTTACTGGAGCTCTCTTTGTCTTTATGAAAAAAAAATATATTTCTCCCTTCTGAACTTAATTATTTTAGAAGGACAGAGAAGTCTTTTAATTTTTAAGAATTACGTACTCACTTGAAAGAGTTACAGAGAAGGAGAGAGACCAGAAAGAGAGAGAGAAACTCCATCTGCTGTTTCATATTCCCAAATGGCTCCAGTGTAAGGAGTTGGGCCAGTCTGAAGCCAGAAGCCATGAGCCTCTTCCAGGTCTCCCACATGGGTGCACATGGTTTCCCCATGGCCCCAGCACCTCGGCCATCCTCTGCTGCTTTCTAAACCCTTAGCAGGGAGGTGGATCAATGTGCAGCACCAGGAACTTGAACTGGTTTTTACACACAATGTGGTGCTGCAGGCAGTCTTTTAACCTGTTATGCCATGGTGCTGACCCCTAATGAAGTCTTTAAATTCAGCTTTACATAGGATGATTTAATTTTTAAAAATCAAAAATTAAAAGACAAAAAACTGTATACATTTATGGGTTACCATGTGGTACTTCAAAACATGTATTTACTTTGTATAATGACCAATAAAGGCAAACATGCCTCAAACTCTTAACAATTCTTTATGATGAAAACATATAAAACATATAAAATCATTTTTTCAGGTTTTTTTTAAAGAGTAAATTATTAAGAGTAAATTAATACAGTAAATTATGATTATATTTATGTACTGTGTAACCAAACACTAAGTCTTGTTTCTATTTAACTATAATTTAGTACCCATTATTTAATCTTTCCGTATTCACGCTGATAGTCATCGTTCTATTCTTTTCTTTTTATTAAAAAAAAGATTGTATTTGAAAGACATAACTAGAATGAGGGAGAGGCAGAGGCCTTCCATCCTCTGATACACTCTCCAAATGGCTGCCACAGCCAGGGTTGGGTACAGGGTCCCAAGCACTTGGGTAGATTCCACTGCTTTCCCAGGCACATTAGCAGGGGGCTGGATTTGAATGGTTTGGAGTGAATCAGCCAGGACTAGAACCTGTCATCTGTATGGGATGCTGACACTGCAGGCGGTAGCTTAACTTGGTATCCCACAATGCTGCCCTCCTCACTGCACTCTAATGCATATGAGTGATGCTGTGTGGTCCTATACTGCTGTGCTTGACTTATTTTATGTAACATAATGACCTTCACTTTATTTACGTATTTATAAATGAGAAGATTTTACTCCCACTTTTTTTTCTTTAGCTAAATAGTTTTCCCTTGTGTACTATGAAACTTTCCATTTATGTACTTTGAAACTTTCCAGTTTCTTTGGTCACTCATCAGGTGATGGATACTTGGGTAGTTTCCTTTGTTTTTTGCTATTGTGAATATTGCTGAAATAAGCATAGGAGTCCATATGCTTTCAACAGTGTTACTTTCATTTTTCTTGGCCATAAGCACAGTAGTGGCATGGTTGGGAATATACAGAAGTTTGAGTTTTTTGGGGAACCTTGATATTGTCTGCCACAATGACCAATAATTTGCATTCGCATCAACAGCATATAAGGATTCCCTTTTCTAAACACTTTCTAGCACTTTTTCTTCTTTCATCTTTTCCATAACAGCCAGTCGACCTGGAGGGAAGCTGCATCTCATCATAGTTTTGATTCACATTTCTCTGATTCACAATGTTACATTTATTCTGTACATAAATGGCATCTCTGGATAGGCTAGAATACACAGGGTAATATTAAACACAGATTTCTTAAAAAATTGTATGACCGGGCCCGGCGCGGTGGCGCAAGTGGTTAAGTCCTCACCTTGCACGCCCGGAATCCCATATGGGCGCCGGTTCTAATCCCAGCAGCCCCGCTTCCCTTCCAGCTCGCTGCCTGTGGCCTGGGAAAGCAGTCGAGGACGGCCCAAAGCTTTGGGACCCTGCACCCACATGGGAGACCCGGAAGAGGCTCCTGGCTTCAGATCGGCATAGTATCGGCCCGTTGCGGCTCACTTGGGGAGTGAATCATCGGACGGAAGATCTTCCTCTCTGTATCTCCTCTCTGTATATCTGCCTTTCCAATAAAAAGAAATAATAATAAAAAATAAATCTAAAAAAAAAATTCTATGACCCTCTCTGATCCTATTGGTCTGATACATATTGTAAGGGTTGAGCAGTGGGCTTGTAACTACCAGTGAGAGTCAGGGTCCTTTAAATCAAAGAAGTGCCAATGAATGCTAACAAAGAAAATAAAAGGTGCAGACGAATTCCGATACCTTACGAATCAAGTGGCCACATAAACTCATGTCTTATTTTTTGATAACAATATAAGACCAAAAGTCTATAGCTGCTAGGCAAATAACATAGCTCAAGTGTGATTATGTTCATATAAAGCTTTTATATTTCCTTGATTTGGTAATCATTAAACCCTCTCATATTTTTAATAGAATTAGAACAATTACTTTTACAATTACTAATGGTCTACAATTACTAGTTTAATCCTCACAGGGAATTAATTACTATCACAGAATGAACTACAAATCACAGTATTAGTTACACAACTAGGCTTTATAGACCATTTGGTTATCAATTAGGTAGAACTTTAGAAATGTTGGTACATTCTCAAGGCATAGGGCCACATATTGGGTGCCCAAGATGGTCACATTACCTTTTTCTTACTAAAAAACAAAACCCTATGATTGTTCAAGTCTGTAATACAGAGGAACAGATAGTACTCTGCTTTTTAATGATGCTGAAGTAATCTAGTCTTATTGGGCTGTAATCTTTCACAAAGAAGTTTTTGAATATTTACTGTGCTTACACCTGTTAAGACTCATGTTTCCTCTTTTTTTTTTTTTTTTTTAATTCTATGGGTCTATTTTTTTTTCCAGGTGGGAGTTTGCAAGCCGTTATATCTGAAAATACTAAGTCTGGGGATCATTTCCAAGAGCCCACACTCAGAGACATGCTTCTGCAGATTTCCGTGGGACTTAAATACATCCACAGCTCGGGGATGGTGCACCTGGACATCAAACCTAGTGAGCCTGGCGCCTTCTGCTCTTCTTGTTGTATTTGGTCTTTTCACATCATCCAAATGCTTGCCTGTTGGCCAAGCAAGTGTCAAAGACAGAGTATGCCAGCAGAAACCCTTGTTTTTCCATTTGCATTCCCTCAGAGAAATCTAGTTCAAGGATTATAATCATTTTCCCTCTGAACTCAGGAGACAGAGAAGGAAAAAGCTCTTTTTTTGGTGACGCTAAATTAAGAGAATGGATGCTTAAATTTACAACATAGATAACTGATAAGATGTTCACCACATGCTGATTGTTTTGTTAGTGCTACGCCTTTTCTCATTTCATCAGTGAGCCAGGTAAGCAGCAATGAATGGCTTTAGTATTCATTTATGTGACAGTCAAAAGTTGTTTCCTTGGACTTTGGTTCTTCTTTTGTCTACTTCCCCCACCAGCCTCTTTGGAGGATGGGGAGTGGATGCAGCCATTATCAATCATCTGCTGTTCAGAGTGACAGGAGAGAAAGGAATCTCATGTGGTATGCCTATCTTGTATTTTCAGGCAATATCTTCATTTGCCATAGGGGGCAAAGCGATTTTACTGACATCCCAGAAGAGATTGAAAATGAAGCTGACTGGTTCATTTCTGCCAGTGTGATATATAAAATTGGTGGGTCTGCTCTGTACCCCTACCAATGTACTGTCTTACAATCATTCTAGTTCTCAAGAAGACATGCTACTGGAGAGCTGTTTTGTTTGTTTGTTTGTTTTTAGGTGACCTGGGCCACGTATCATCCATAACTGATCCCAGTGTAGAAGAAGGAGATATTCGCTTCCTGGCTAATGAGGTTTTGCAAGAGGTATAGGTTATAAAGTATTCTACACTTCCATAATCCACTGATTCTTTTGGCTTCCAAATGAACACTCCCAATGCAAAACATGTGAAGTATATATTCACTGTTTAAACTTATAGTACCTATTTTCTCAGAGTCCAAACAGTGCAAACACTTCTAAGAATGCAAGAGGAAATCTCAATATTCACACCATGCTTTCCAAAAGTCCTTGTTGCTTCTACTCAAAATTCCTAATCTCATAGATGGCCTGCTAAGAATACGGTGTGTCCTTCAAAATCACAGTACCCCAGCCTTTTCTGGGATGTTTGTGCAATCTGACAGTGAAAGATATATTTCCCCATAAGTGATAATCAGGGAAAAAAGTGAGTCAGTGTATGCTTCCAGCCTTTTCAAACATCTTGGACTCTTCATGGCATGGCAGTATTAAATGTACATTTGTATTCCCTCGACCTTCTCTACCAACAAACCACTGACAACAGCAGGTATAACCTTGTCCAATGTATTTGTGCTTAGCACATATAAACTCTGAAATGGAGGTCTCCTCCTAAGTAATTTTTACTTTAGACTCATTCAGCTTGGGAAACTAACTGGTCCTCCTGTTTGATCTTTTCAAGGATTATCGACATCTTCCCAAGGCGGACATATTTGCCTTGGGCTTAACAATAGCAGTGGCTGCGGGAGCGGAGGCGTTACCAGCCAACGGGGAGCCGTGGCATCACATCCGCAAGGGTAACCTTCCAGAAATTCCCCAGAAACTCTCAGAAGACTTTCAAGATCTGCTCAAGGTGATATCTCACGAGACGAAGCGATAGAGAGAGGCTTATTATAATTGTGGTGGCAAGTAGAGAAAGAAGCAAGATGTTGGTAGTGCCATTAATGGAAGGGAAAAGGAACCAGAGCTATGGCTTGGAATCCCAGGAGATACAGGATGGATTTTAAAACCTCTCAAGCAAACATAGGGAATGTAATCAAATCCTTCCTGTTGTAGATTAAATATCCTGTGATTTTTTTTTTTTCATTTGCTCCTAACCCACAACCCAGGTAGAAGTTGACCTTTCATTTTGTGGTTGAAGAAATTAAGGGTTAAAGTAGGTGGTTGATTCTTGTATTCAGTTACTAAGCACCTAACTCCAAAATAAAAAGTACTACTTTGGAGTTTTAACTATTGACAATGACATTGGCCACTATCTTTAAAAGAACTAGTTTTGAGCTTGTATATAAGGAAATCTAAGTTTTTTCATGGACAACCCACTGACTAACAATTATTTCAGGTTTTTCAAGAAAGGTATGTTACTTTGTACTTGATGATATTAAATATCTGTAGGGGCAAGAAAGAGGATCTCAATTGCAACAAAGAGGGCAACAAAGAAACACTGTCAGGAAACTGAGCATCACTGAAAGAAGACAAAGTAGCTGTGACCTCCAACTTAGGGAATAACCTTAGTTAGGATGCTTAAAATCATTTCAGCAATACCTACTGCCTTAGAGATTAGACTTGAATTTCACATTTATCTGAACCCTTCATATGGAGTTATGAAACAGTCTTTCTTCCTGCCTTCTTTAAGCTTTCCTCCAGTGGCAGCCTCTGCTCACACTCACTGTTGGTTCAGTGTCTTGATTGACTTGGTACTTACTGAGTACCAACATGCTGTAAATACTGTACATATGTTCATTCATTTAGTTCTCACTATAGTCCCAGAAGTTAAGCCTAACCATCCTTTAAGGAAAAGGAAACTGGGCTTCAGCAAAGTTTATAATCTAAATGGTAAAGCTGGCTTTGAACTTGGTCACCACACTGAAGGTTAAGTATTTTGATTATGTGACAGTATTAATCGCTAATTATAATGAGATGTTTTCTATTCAGATCACCTTGGCTTGCAGACATCTCTTACCATTAATGAATGCTTTAGGAATACTACCATGTAGGTATTATTAAGCGTAAAGGGAGCATGAGGTAGCAGAAAACAGGTTTGAAAGGAATGGATAAATTGGAGTTTAGTTTTGGCCCTTCCGCTGACTTAGACCAGTCATTTTCTACTCAGCGCTTCAGTTTTTTCCACCTTTAAAATTAAGGCATGAAGATAGTTAAACAGTCACCCAGCTTTAAAAAAGGATACTCAGAAACCAGCTACAGATGTAGACAACTGATGCTAACAATGGCTACCGTTCTAGCCACAGTGGAGCTAAATTTTCATCTACTTATTCCCTTTGTGTAAAGAATAAGCACTTTTTCCACAAAACACCCTCATGGAAACTGGGTTGGAGTAGGCAGGAGTGGGGCGATTTTCCCATCAGTGAAGCTTGTGTGTCCTTCTTTTTGGCCATCCGACACTAGACAATGATCCATCCTGATCCTGAAAAGAGACCCTCCGCAGCAGATATGGTCATGAACCGCACTCTCCGGCCTTCCCTGGGCAAGACAGAAGAGCTCCAGAAGCAGCTGAACTTAGAAAAGTCCAAGATAGCCATGCTAGAAAGGTAGTTGTGGCATCTTGGAGTCTTATAAAATGTGGCTGGTTTGGTGTGTCTTCTGCATAAATCCAAGTTTATATACAAGGTTACCTCAAAAATTTTGTAGAAAAATGAAAACATAGGCTGGGGTGGGCGTTTGGTGCAGCCCTGTGCTAGTTCCTGGCTCCCTCTGGATCCCAGCTTCCAGCTAATGTGCCTCCTGAGATTAGCAGGTGATGGTGTGGGTCACTGAGTCTCTGCCACTCCTGTGCGAGACCTGGGTTGCTTTCCCCTCTCCCAGCGTCAGCTTGGCCCAGGCCTGGCTACTGAGGGAACTTAGGGAGAGATCTCTATTTGTCTCTGTGCTTCTCTGCCTTTCAAGTACATTTTTTAAAAATTAAAATTTTAAAGATTATTTTGATGTGATAAATTTTGAAATTTATGCATAGATTTTTCATGAACTATATATTCCATGCACTTAATTTTTAAAATTAGTTTATTTGAGAGGGGAGAGAGGGGAAGATAAAGACTGAGTTTCAATTCATTGGTTAACTCCCTAAATGCCAGCAATGGTCAAGACTGGGCCAGGTTAAAGCTAGAAGCTGAAACTCAGTCCACAGGAATGGAAGGAACCAAATTACCAAGTCATGCTGCTGCCTCCCAGGGTCTTACATTAGCCCAAGTAGTGAGTCTAGGTACTCTAATATCAGATGTCATTTTTTGTTAGCTTTATTTTATTGAAAATAAAATAGAAGGAGATATAGAAAGAAACATCTTCCATCCATTGGTTTACTCCCCAAGCATCTCCAGAATGGCTGGAGATAAGCTGATCCGAAGCCAAGAGCTAGGAGCCTCTTCTGGGTCTCCCATGTGAGTGCAGGGTCCTAAGGCTTTGGGCCATCCTAGACTGCTTTCCCAGGCCACAGGCAGCGAGCTAGATGGGAAGTAGAGCAGCTGGGATTAGAACAGGTGTCCATATGGGATCCCAGTATGTGCAAGACCCATTGTACATATGGACTAGGAGGCTCTGTGACTAAGCTGCTTGAGAGAGAATTCCAGTTAATAGAAAGGAAGCAAAGTGAGCGACACAAGGAACTTTGACTGTAACTAGTATAAAAAACAACAAAACAAAACAAAGAGCTGGAGACAAGCTGGAGCTAGCTATGGTGTGTGCTTCCATTAACAGCACCAGTTTGAGTCCTGTCTGCTTGACTTCTGATTCAGCTCCCCGACAACGTGCCTGGAAGAAGCCCATCTTTGGGTCCCTACACCCATTATCAAAGACCCAGATGAAGCGTCTGGATGCGGTGGCCTTTTGGGGAGTATACCAGTGGGAGGAAATTCTCTTTTTGTGACTCTACCTTTCAAAAACCAAAGACTTAGAAAAAGAAAGCCTAGGGCTCTCTGAGTGGCAACAGGTGTCATAACCAAAGGGAAAGTGGGTAGGGTTACTTCAGAAACCTGTTAGACATCAGGAGCTAGCAGGCAGATGTACTGTCCAGCACATGTTTAGTAAGAGAACTTTTCCTAAGCCAGGAAGCAATTCAATCTCTTATTATTGTATGCTTTTATTTACGCATGCTTCTATTTATTAATCCATTCCTTCACCAAAAAATGGGAAGTAATTATATTGGATAGGGTTAGGAAAAAGGTCAGGCAGTGATGTTTGTGCAGCACTAGGAAGAAAATGTAAAGATTATTACATATATACTTTATAGTATTAAAACTGTAAGTGAGAAAAAGACAAATAGTTTTTGCTTCAAATAAGGCTTGAAGCCCAGTGTCTGTGGACACTGACATGAAAAATCTGACATGAAAAATCCCAAGCAGATTTCTTGAGAATAAGTTGCAAAGACACTCAGCTTAGTCACGTCTTCCTGATAAGCCACTTTAGTCAATGTTTTTGCTTCAGTTTTGAGTTTCGTTGGCCCATAATAAAGTATGGTTTATAGGAGAGCAGATGTTCTAATGTGTGGTGTATTCATTCTGTGATGGCAGCGCTGGAAGCATTGGTGATTGTCAGTAGGCAGTGATGGGATCATCACCTTCCTTGAGACTGTGTAGACCTGGGGTTGGTAAACTTGTTCTGGAAAGGGCTGGATGGTAAAGTTTTACATCTTGTGGACTATACAATCCCTGCTGTAATGACTAATCTCTGCTGCTTGGTGAAAACAGCCACTGGCACTATATATTTGAGTACATAAAAACGCCAACGGCAGGCCAGATTTGCTCCGGGGCCCATTGCTGGTTCATCCTTGCAGCTTCCACACACAGCCTGAAAAGTTGTTTACTTATCACTTTTCTAAATTCAAAGATTATTTATTCCCAACCAGTATAAACTCAGAAACTGAACATCCCAAGGTTTATGGCATGTGTGCATGCATACTGATTTTTTCATGACAATCAGATTCTAAGGGATTTTATACAGTTCATGCTTATTTCTATAAATAATGAAGAGAGACTGACTTACATGTTAATTTTGACCATATGTACTCTGTCGTTGGAGATGAAATGACTGTGCTTTCTCACTTGCATTGTAGGGAATTGAGACAAGTGCAGCAGGCGCTGTCCCCTCCAGGAGACATCTCCCATGGCAACCCTGGGGTCTCCGAGACTCACGCAAGAGCAAGAAGCACAAGGCGCCTGGTGGGAAGAAACAGTGGCAAGTCTTTCAGCTTTACTCTTGGGGAATCTTCCCTGTAAGAACTCAGTTATACCAAAGAGGTTTCTGCCGCTAAGTCTCCAATAAATAAATGTTGACCATCTCAATCTTTTTCTTTTAACAAGAAAAAACAAATCAACTTGAACACCCAGGGATTTCAAAATCCCTCCCAGTTTAGCATCTACAGCTAAAATCTTAAAGCTACAAAGGCCTTCCTGTTATCTACAGTGCTTGGTAGACTAACTGGTAGCCATTCCTCTTCCCTTTTGTCGTAATCCTAATATTTATGAATCAAATTGGGAAAATATGGCTGCCTGAGTCACAAAAAAGAAACAACTCTTGAGCTTGGTCTAAGGACTGGGGTCCGGGTGGAGAGCCTTCCTATATGCAATCCCCTTCGTTGTAAGAGAGAGGAGTAAGAATGTGTTATGGAGTTGCAGTAACAGCTTGTATCAGAAAATATGCCTGGATTTCCTACACTGCTTCTCAGGTTATGTGACACTATTTTTTTTTTCTTTTTGTGCAATACTATTTCTAGAAGAGAATTCTTAGTCACTTTGAACAAGTACCTCTACTAATGTATTTTCTGGATGGACGCAGCCTCTTTCTTTGATACTGTATTTGTTAAATAAATGACTTCGTGATTATGTGAAAAGGTAGAAATAAGACCACATATAATGTGGACATTTTGAGCCTTTTTGTTTTGGGACAAAAACTCTGTCGGGTGGAGTTTCCCTCAGTTCGACATGGCTGTTCATCATTTTATTTCTCTTGACATGTCTCTGGTTTAGCATAATTTGGCTTTGCTTTCTGTAATTTTATCATGTTTTATTCAAATTATTTGATTTTAAAGAAATATAATACTTACAAATAAAGGTTTTTATCTTGTTCAGAGTTAACTATGGGTAAAAGTTTCTTATTTATGATATGTAATAAACAAAGAATTAGAAATTCATACTGCAGTGCCAGACTAACAGATCAGAGTGAGTAGTGGTTAGGTTTTGCTATAAAATAGTGTTGGTCATAAATGTACTTAACTCCTCTTTGTGTTTTTTTAAAAAATGTATGTTTTTGAAAGGTGGGGTGGGTATGCAGAGAAATCGCATTTGCTGATTCACAGCCCCAAATGGTTGCTGCAGCTAGGGCTGGACTAAGAGCAGGTCTCATGCTGTGTGGCCACTTCTTAATGCCTCCCACAGTGTGCGTAACAGGCCTGGAGTCCGGTTTAGGATGTGGGTGCAGCGGCATGGGATCGGGGTGTGCCAAGCAGCATCTTAATGGAGGTCATCTAGGAATGACTAACAGTTTTTGTCCCGGTTTCTTTTTACTTACTTTTTAAAAGCTATGTTAAAAAAAAGAACAAATAAACTCTTTCTATCAATATTTTTTCTCTCTCAGGACAGCATTTTTTTCCACGTGATTGTTTCTATAGCCCATTGTAATAGCCCATTCCTTTTTTATTTACTGGACTTCATTCAAATTTTAAAATCAGTCTAGTTTGGAGTGACCATTTGGCCCAGTGTTTTGGGATGCCCGTGGCCCACACTGGAGTGTCCAGATGTGACACCCAGCTCTAATTCCTGGCTCTAGCTTCCTGCCAGTACAGACCTCAGAAATAGTGATGAACACTGAAGTATCCGGGTTCCTGCCATCCATGTATGATCTAAGCTGCGCTCCCAGCTGCTGGCTCTGGATCCAGCTGAATCTTGGCAGTTGTGAGCATCTGGGGAGCATATTAGTGGATGGAAAAGCTCCCTTTCTCTCCACCACTCACCGACACACAGAAATTCTTTCTAATGAATTATTCTATCTCGAACCACCTTCCTGGCCTTGCACACTCCAGGTCCTCACCCCACAGTAATCTGAAAGGCCAACTACCAACTTTGTTAGCAACTGGACATTACTGTTTACAGACCAGAATTCTTTGGTTATGCTTTCCTCTGGCACAATGAAGGTCAAGGGCCCTAGCTACTGTGTTTCTCTGAGCCCAGCTGGATGGACCCGCCATCAGATGATTGCATCATCCCTCTGGTGGGTTCCACAGCAGCAGAAAGCCACTAACGGAGCCTGCAGCCACAGAGATACTGTGGAGTATGAGAAGGATAGCCCAAAAGCGTGGGATCCTGCACCCGTGGGAGATCCAGAAGAAGCTCCTGGCTCCTGGTTTTGAATCGGCTCAGCTCCGGCTGCTGTGGTCAGTTGGGGGAGTGAATCAACGTATGGAAGATCTTCTCTCTGTCTCTCCTCTTCTCTGTATATCTGACTTTCCAAAAAAAAAAAAATATATATATATATATATATTTCCCCCCCAGGGGCTCCATGTGGTAACCTAGTAACTGAAGTCCTTGCCCTGCACATGCTGGGATCCCCTATGGTGCCAGTTTGTGCTCCACCTCCCATCCAGCTGCCTGCTTGTGGCCTGGGAAGGCAGTGGAGGGCAGCCCAAATCTCTGGGACCCTGCAGCCGCGCGGGAGACCTGGAGGAGGCTCCTGACTCCTGGCTATGGATCAGCACAGCTCCGGCTGCTGTCGTCAGCTGTCGCCACTTGGGGAGTGAGTCGGTGGACGGAGGATCTTTGTCTCTCCTTTTCTCTCTGTTTCTGACTTTCCAATACAAATAAATAAATCATATATATATATATATAAAGTCATAAATGAAGGCAAGGCTCGAGATAACCTTTTGATCCTGGGAATATATGTGCATACCTTGTAACAATTTCACCAATGCTGAAAGTCCTTCCCTGAGTCTGTTACCACTGGGATTGAAGCCATGAAGCTGCTCGCCAGGACTTAGAGGGAAGGTCTTGTTTGAGTCCACATTTGCATCCATGGACAGGGATGGGCAGCTGGTGCACTGGCTACAAGTGCTAGGAGAGCCTGCAGGCCACATGACGTGTCTGGGCCCAGTTTGGTGCTAAGGCGCACCTGGGGCGGCACACTGGGCGAGGGCCAGGGGAGCCCCATGGAATCCTCCTCCCTCTTGGGGTCCCCCGGGACCAGCTCCCACTGTGAAGGCCTTGGGGAAGAGAGGCAGGGGTGGAAGATCTGTTTCTGCCCCCTCCTTTTCAAATAAACAAGAAAAATCATTCTTAGAAACATACGCACAGGGGCCCACCGTGCCTCAGACTTTCACAGGCCCGCTCTCTTGCTTGATATTAATAGTGGTATTTCGTTCCTCACGAATTTCTTGACCCCCGTCCTGATATACTGTTGGGAACTTTATCACGTCATTTCAATTAAAAAAAAAAAAAACAACCTTGAAATTGGCCGAACTCACCACTGGGCGGCGTGAACCCAGCCACTTCCGTGCGGAAAGCAGCGCCCGGAACTTCCGAGTTAAAGGAAAGGTTGTTCGGGCCGGCACCCTTTCTAGGGAGCACGCGCCAATGTTGTGCTTCCTCTTTCCTGTGAAGAGGCGCCGGAAATGGTCCTCCGGCTGGAGGCCGCGCGAGCCGGAACGTCGGGTGAGGGCGCCGGGGGAAGGAAGCCAGCGGGCGGCGTGGGTGTCCGTGGCCGCTCCCGCGGGGTCGGCGTGCGTGACCGCGGCCGGCCGAGGGCGAGGCGGCGGCGCCCAGGCGGTGTGGGCGCGCGGGCATGGAGACCGAGCGTCCTTTGGTGGCTGCGGGTGTCTGATGGAGGCAGCATCTGTGCAGTGTGTGTGTTGGAAGCCGGAGGGGCTGGGGGAGGGTGAGAGTCACTGTCTGCCCTTCGCTCGCCTTGACCGTGCGAGGAGGCCGTGCGTCCGAAGGGGATCTCATTTCCCAGCTTTCCGTGTGGGTTACTGCAGAGGGACGTTCGGAAGGGCCGGCAGGTGTGTGCTCCAGCTCGGCCACTCGCAGGAGTGGGGAAGTGCGGCTCCCTGCTACCTCTCTCGCTTGCAGGAGAGGGACCTTCAGAGGGGCTGGCAGGTGTGTGTGTGTTCCAGCCCCACCACACGCAGCAATGTGGGCATGTGGTGCTCGTCAGTTGGAGTGTGGAAAGATGTGTGTTTAGTATGCCCTTCATGTGAGATGTACATTTCCCCCTTTTTTCCCCTTTAGGAAGAACACAGAGATTCAGTTGCAAGAAAAGAAAATAGAAATCATGTTTCGAAGACCTGTACTACAGGTAGTGGCTTTCTCGTATTAGCGTTGAGATGCGTTTAGCGTTAGCCATGATGATGAGTTTTCTTTACACAGGCAGGAGGGCCCAGAACCCACCACCTGCCTGCTGATAGGGGAGGATGGCAAGGGATTTTGCCCTTGTGTGTATGGTGTTTACTGAAATGAAAGCTCCAGTTTATCCACCTAGTAAGAATCAGTAATTTAAAAAATCTTCATCTCTTGCACCTGAGGGTTAGGAAGCTTTGTGGGTTTCAAGTGATGTAAGGAGTATGAAGTTGTCCGTTGAGGGGTGTGGAGCTGGTCGGCCCTTGTCCTCTGCCCTGGTCTCCTGGCCCTCATTCTGCTCAGTCTGGTCTCTCCATCTGGTTGGCCTGTCTTGTGCCAGCCTGGACTACCCATGGATAGATTGTATACAACTGTTGAGTCCTGCCATGTTAGTGGTAACAAAGAATCATGTTAATGTAACAAAGGCAATACCCCTTTCCCCCTATTGAATTAACCTAATGTGATTGGATCCCGTTATAACTTGTACATACTTTAACTTTTTTTTAGTTTTTGATGAATTTACATAGATGATTAGGGTACAAAGGGGTCAAGGGCCAGAGGAAGGTGAGTGGCACCCTTTTCCCCTTCCTGTATTTGGGGAAAGGGCTGAAGGTGGTATAAGGGAAGAAGTCACATCCAGCCCTCCAGCCAGCTCCGTATCCTGGGATGGGGGACGGCCACCTGATGCTGTCCCAGGGTCCCCGATGTGGGGCATGCTCCAAGGGCCCTGCTCGAGCAGTTTTGATACAGTTCTGACTTGCTGCCGATCTCGCCACTCCTAGCACGATGGAGTCTCTTCATAATCTACTTTTTAATGTATGGAACAGTTCCTGTTGATAACGTCACAATTACAGATGCCCTTAAAACCAAATATGACTTGAAAGTTTAACTAA